ACAGAACGGTAACTCAAAATCGAGAATCGAAATTGGAGCGAAGTCGATAGAAGAACTAACGCCATATGAGCCATGGACACTGTCGATACCTTGAAATCGATTCTCACATCCAACCAAAAGTAAACCAGAATGTCTCGCAGCCAATAGAAACTTTATGTTGCTTACGTTCGTTAGACATACTTCAGTCTATGACTTATGTTAATGCTTATGACTATGCAACATGTTTATGTTTCCATTGTGAATGTGCCTTTATATCACAAAAGATATATACGTAATCACTGGCAAAAGATTCTTTGCCCCTTCTTAATATTTTCTCTAAATCTACTCACTAAAATAGTAACCCAACTGATCACCGCTGTAATAGCACTCTCCGTCCCTTGCGCGAACCATCTAATACATCCTCCCTTGTAGCCGCAACAACTACACCTGCAGATAAAAGCCAATTTCTTGGAGAATACTTTGCCGCAACCTTCACTCACCATCCTCAGAATACCCCCTTCACCATAATTTACTCCAAGAAGATATCCATCGGGCTAGAACAGCCCCAAGATGCCCAAAACTTGTATATCCCACCGAAATAGTCAATCTTTTATCTGTTGCTGCCCCAAAAGTTTCCAGTGGCATCGACGTAACTCTAACTTACGTTCTTAAACGCCTTCCACTCACAGCCATTTTACATATAACGGTTAATGCATCTCTTCATCTGGACTATATAGGTCTCAATGAAGATGGTTCAATTTTCGATTTCTTGTTTTTTCACGGAATCGTTAATGCTATTAATTGTTAATGATAGAAAGATATTCTATCTAAAACTACTGCAAACCACTAAAAATGTAATTAGCAACTTGTAAAATGGAGTAATACATCTTCTGATGAAATGTATGGCTTGAATGAAATGAAAGCTCATATGAAAAAAAGTATGCGCGTTTTTCTTGTGGGGCAATCGCAACCGAAAATCAACCTCACTTGTCCGCTGCGTTTATCTGGATGAAAATCAACATCACTCACTCGTCTCCTCCATCAGATTAAACGAGCGTAGGGCCGCAATGGCCTCCCTTGGTTCGCGAGATCACGTGACCCTCTTCCGCTCGGTTTTCGGTGATTGGTAATCTCGAATCACGCGATATGCGCTGACAAACGCGATGTCTTCGGTGATGGTTGGCGTCGCGGATTTAGGATGAAATTTACGGGTCAAGGACATCTTGGTGGATTGCTTGCCGGCTCGGCGTCTGTAATTTCCCCGCTGACTCATGGCGTGCCCCGGGCCGTGCCTGGCGATCTACACAATAGAGCCCTGCCCTTTTGGGTGCCCTGCGGCGTGCGAACACGCGCAGATAGCGAAAAATTGCCACTTTTTTGACCCTACGCTTTCGGGCGCTCCAACGTTATTTTAAATAAAATTTAAAAACGTGCGTCGAAACCTGACGCGTGCGACCGTCTCAAAACAATATTAAAATTTAGAGTATGCAAAATAAAACCTGTTAAGAAAGCAAGTGTTCAATCAAGTGCGAAACCTACTAAAAAAGCCCTTCTACGACCCACTATCTTTCATTTAAAGCACAAATCACGCTATTTGATTGAGCTGCATAAACCTCAATCTTCTTTGTATACGAAAACCCTTGTGCTTTAAATATGTAGCTATCTTGCTCAGAGGGTAAGATTAAAATTCATAAAATGTATTATTAATAATGTGCGTTGTTTTTGAAAATTAAATATTTTTTTTGATGTTTTCTTTAATTTTAATCCGTAAACAAATATTTAGTTACTCAAGCAGTGTAAAATATTTGAAAGTTTTAATCCCTTACTAGTACATAATATTCATTACCATTTGGCTTCTAAAATTCACTTAATTGCAACTTGCATAAGTGAATAGTTAGAAATAAAAAAAAAGTTTGGGAGATCGCTGTAAATAAAATGCGAATTTTAAAGTGAGAAAAAGTAATGAGTTTATGGGGGAAATTAGAAAAAGAACAAATTAGAAAATTTGTACAAATATACGGAGGCGTGGACAAAATCGTTTCAATTTGCGACTTTAGAAAATTAATGACTTAAGAAAATTTGTCTACAAACATACGAAGATGCCGGTCTTCTGCCAATGTGTGACGTTATCAGAGGCGTTGAATGTTTGCCTCAACTGTTCACATGATTCTAAATAAAGAGTTCTCTTTTAGTTCTAGGAAGTGACTATGGAATTTTATGTATTTTATGCTTGAAACAGGAAACTGTGAAGTTAAGTGCTTCGTTTGTGTCTTTTAGATTCCAAGTCAAAAACAGGGAGTGAAGGTCTAGAACGAATCAAGGATTATATCGGAGGTTGTCATGGAATAGGGATGATGATGTTGCAGCGAATAAACATAACACTGCAGGCAGAGGAACAGGGCAGGGAGACGCATAGGTGCAGAAACGAAAGCACAGCGAAAGTGTGTCATGCGCTTTGGTTAGAATCATATTTGTGCTGAATTGGTAAAATTTGTGGGAATTGGGGTAATTTAAATGGCCTAAAAAGATTGATGAATTTGTATAGATAAAAGAAGCAACGTTTTTAATGGTGTGCATGAATTTGCTGAGAAGCGCATTTAAACTTGTCTCCTATTGAGACTGGAGCAGGGAATATGGCGGATAAGAAGAGTCCTCAGGTCGACAACATTCATGTAAAAAATGGCAATTTTATTTGTGGTGTAGTAGAAGGTACCTAATTGAGTAATTTCAATTAATGATTTCATTTCCATTTAGTGTTTACAAGTATTTCAAATTTTCGTAGCAGAATCCTGTTTTCTTGATGCCGGCTGGCCCGGTAGTGACAGTTCTAAGTGGAAGTAGTTTGATTAATACGTCATGTTGTTTCAAATGATAATTAATTCCATGCCACTCTTGAAACCTATTTTAATAGAGTGCGGAATATTCCAAATTTGAAAATGATGAAATTGTGTTATTTGAAATTTCGTAAATTTTGAAGGGAAGTACACTTTTAATGTATTGTTTTTAAAAATTAGAAGATCCCTGAAGATGATGTAATCAGTAGAACAGTTCTCAAGGAGTTATTAGAATGTATATAATCTGCTTGAAATACCTTCAAAAGTGCTTTGTTGACTATTTGACATGTGTGAAATTGGTTTGCATTTCAAATTATTTTCATTCTTCAGATCATTTGTGTGGTTCTATCAGGACTCCCTATTTTTTTTCAGATAATTGGCTTTTGCACATTTTAAAATGAATTAATAGTTACGTTTTGTTAAAAAAATCACATTTTTGTTTTAATCCTTTTTCCTTTTCAGGTTTCTATGGACGTCCTTGGACCACAGAACAGAGGAAAGATCTTTTTCAAAAGTAAGGGAAAATGATTTAATGAAAGCTCAATTAAAATGTGATTTGGAAAGAAATTGTCAAATAACCAAAAACTTTTTTATTTTTTACCTAAAAGTCTTCCCATTCTTGAGATGTTAGATGTAAAGATGGTGGTTTTTGTGTGATAATTAAAATAAATATATTTTAACAACAGAATTGTATTAAGTGATATTTCATTAAGTCAATTAGTAATTCATTTGATTTCTGAATTATGCAAATTTAAACACTGGGAAATTTACTACTTATACTATTACAATAATTAAGTTCATTTATGATACTGTAATGTGTTTGAGCATGCCTGCTTTTTTTAAAACACCTAAAACCATTCTTGAAAAGGAATCATGTGAATTGGGACTCACAAGGTTAGTTTATGATTTATTGCCTGTCACTCACAATTTAACCCTCTAATGCCCAAGGTAATTTTGAGTGTATTGCGCTTGCCCATTGTTGTCGCATTTGTTGAAGTACGGGATCCGTTAGAGCCCTATGGTAGTATGTTTTGCAACATTTAGTGCTAACCAATTGTGTTGCCAAACAATTTCGACTAGAGCGCTCCAAAGTGCAAACCGTTGGTTATATGAGCATGTTTGTTGTGTAAGGGGAAGCAAAGTCGTTAAAACTTAGCTGCATATGCCCCGTCAACTTTGGTGTGAAACAACCTCCATTTGCTTTACACCGGCCTCTCCCTCTGACTTAACCTGAGACATACAGCAGCTAAGTTTGATTTTAAATGTAGATTCGGTTAAAGTAGGATAAATGGTACACCCTCAGAGTAGTGTGGTGACGGAGGGGAGAGGGGTCTCCTTAAGCCTTCCCTCAAATTATGCTATGCACTCTGATAGAAATTAATAAAACTTATGGATAGACGATTTTCATGGCTTACCTTTCATACGCTTTGTCCCCGCTGCATTGAAATGCCAATTTTCTTTTAATGGCAAGTTTTCTTGCTTTACTTGCCCGGATCCAAGTGACCGCGAGGCTTCGACCTTTGGACCTCGCGTTCAATGTAAACATCCTTGACTCTATCCCCTGTATAATAGCCAATTCATCATTACAAAGAAGCACTTTTGAAGAAATCCTCCAGAATTCAAACCCTGCATACACCGCCGGAGCGGCGTGAAGAGCTGGTTTAAACGACTTCTGAAGTTGTACCGTATACTAGACTTCAGTTGAAGATTCAAACCTATCCAAGTCATGTGTACACCCTGGCTAGGAATGTACAATGTCTTAGCGATCATGGCTAAATCAACATCTGGCATTCAAGTATGAAAAAACTAGCTTATGTTTCATTTAGAATGTCTCCATCTACTGAAGAAATAAAATTAGCAAGTTAGTGCTAAAAGCTGCAAATACGTATTGACCAGAAATGTTACATATATATAACAAGGGGCACTAGAGGGTTAATCAAACTAGTGTTTTTTTATGGTGCTTTGTTAGCTGAATTTATTAAAATTACATATTAATTTTATCTCTGAATATGAGATGTACTTTTCTAGAATGGAGTTCATTGCTATTTGTTTGCTCTTGATAAGCTGCAATTAGCTTTTTGGAGAAACAATTATTGTATGGAGTCCAGAAAATTAAAAAACAACAACAGATATTTAATTTTAAATGATTCATTTTCATTGTTTATGAAATCCAATGTGTAGCAATCTTGTACACAAATTTTGTGAGAAGATTTGTCACCTTAATTACATAGTGTTTCATGAATTGTTTGGCTTATGGGGCAGTGAAAATTGACTTAATGTGTTTCATAGATCTTAATTCTAAAGAATAATTGTCATGATTGTTGGTGATAATGAAATTAAAGAACTGAGATGAATTGAATGTTTCAGGCTGAAAAAATGGGGCATGGATTCCTATTTGTATGCCCCAAAAGATGATTACAAACATCGAGCTTACTGGAGAGAATTGTATACAGTAGAAGAAGCTGAACATTTGACTAGTCTAATTTCAGCCGCCCGAGAAAAAGGGATCACATTTTATTATGCACTATCTCCTGGCCTTGATATTACGTATTCAAGTGCAAAAGAAGTAGCTGTTTTAAAAAGAAAACTAGAACAGGTAGATAGGAATTAAAATTTGAAGGTGTCTTGTGCAATTTTTCCTGAAAAATGATGTATGTATAAAGATGGTCTTAATCTTTGCAATTTTGAAGAATGATTGTGCTGTAATTTGTATTAATTATCTTAAGACTTAAATCAGTGCTGGATGCTAGTAATGAGATCTGTATTAATAAGTCAACATTAAAAATCAATGAATAGTAGAATAAGTAGAATTCTTCAGTATCGCAAGTCTGAATACTTTGTTGTTTTTTTTGCAAGGTTTCTCAGTTTGGCTGTTCAGCATTTGCATTGCTCTTTGATGATATTGAGCCAGAGATGTCTGAAGCTGACAAAGAAGTGTTTCAGTCGTTTGCCCATGCTCAGGTATGTTTACTATTATTTTGTATTTTGTGAATTATTGAAGGGCGTCAGACATTTGGTAACAAAAAAAACAATGGTTTGAATGTTATAATTGCATTTATTGGTATATACATCATTTTATAATATAACAGTACTTGCAGTTTTAACATCCAAAGCATTCTTTCCTGTGGTCATCAGAACTGCTGTATATTGAATGCTATGATTCATACAACAATAAATGCAAATACATCATCTGAAGCAGTTTTCTTTTTGTCCTTGAATGGCTCAGTGCTCAATGGCAAATACATTTTTTATAACATGCCAATAAACACAATTAAAATGTATTTACAGTGTTTACAATGCATTCACTGTAAAGTTTCTACAGAAACCTTTTTTTATTACTAGGGAACGGAATTTATTGCAATAAAAAATTCAAAATATGTACATACATAAATAGTTTCCAATATATGTAAGAAAAAATAGAAAATATGTAAAAAAAAAATCATTATTGTATTTAATGTTGCTGTAGTATTTTCCAAGTAAAGAATGTTATTGATCGGATTTCATGATGGATTTGGAGCGGCTGAAAGAAAGTTCACTATGTCCAGAAGTAATTTTATGGTAATTTTTACCACTCATAAGAGTTTCATTTGAAATATAAAGAACGAACCTTGTATGTACAATGTTTAAATGAATAGTAGGACTGTATTGTCAGTGAAGGATCCGAAAGATGGGGGACAGTTAAAGGGACTCCCCTTCCAATTTTCGTAATGCGATTAGACAAAGATCCGTACAAAATATTAGTTTTCTACTGAGTTACCCATTAGCTCTGAGAAACCTGAGCAATGTCATGGTCGAAATTACTTCTGCCTCATAAATACCCTTTTATCCTTGATTCTAAAGAAGCAAGGGGTTAAATTTGACAATTCATGGCAAAGGTCCGCATGTCATAAAAGCTTGGTAGCATTGCATTGTTTTTTAAGAAAGATTATTCTAGTAACATATCTGAAAATTTCCAAAGTTTAAATGAATCAAAATGTAACAAAATATGTAGTTTCAGATAAAATAAGTAAAAATTTGTAATAATACTGAAGCATGTAAAAATATGTAAAATAAAAATGCTCTTGTTTCATCCAGAATGTTTATTGAATGTGGGTCTTGTTTCTCTGAATTCACAGAATCATTATATATTTACGTGAAAATCCGTTCCCTATTTATCACAAAAAACTCACTTTATCCTAGACATTGAGTTTTGTTGGTTTACCTTATAACACACATTGAAACACCCTTTCCACATTACCCTTTCCCACCTCATATTACCCACAACACCCTTTCAAAGCAAAGTACTTTCTCCCTTTATTTTCATTATAATGAGTTTGGTGTGTCTACAAGACTATATAAACTATACATTTTTTCTCCACTCCTTGTCTATAGGGATTTAAATGGATATTAACCTGTTATCATTGGAATTAATTTTGAACACGTGGGGCTTCGCTCATTGTGGTCATGTAAGCATAGTCATTGATGAGGCTATTTGGTAGCATATTTTTGCAACTCTTAATGCTAAGGCTTTGTTATGCTGCTAAAATTATACTACTAATTTTCCAAAGCACAAATTGCTGGTTATATGAGCAGTTATTTCCTATGAGAAGCAACCTGTCCCTCCAACTTAACCTCCGGCATTAGAGTAGGTAAATGTGGTGTTGGAATAAGATTTAAATTGTCAGAAGTCATGAATACACTGCGGCCAGGAGTGTACAATGTATAGTGATCTTGGCTAAATTGTCATTAACATTCAAAAATTCTAAAACTTGCCTTTGTGTTTCTTTTAGAGGGGTCTGTGTTTATTAAGGAAATAAAATTAGCAAATTAGTGCAAAAGAAGCAAAATGTAGTGAATGAGAATGTAGTGATGTGCCTACCCAAAAAGCAACACTTTGCTATTTAGTGGGTTAATGTGTGTATGTATGTAAAAAATATTTTGAGTTGAAGATGTTTTTTTCTTCGTATATTACTCTTGAATAATGCTCGTCTGCCCCAAGTTTTATCATATTGTTTTTGGATTGCACTTAGATTTTGATCAATTAAAGAAGTCCGTTCCATTTGAAATTGAGTGTAAGCATATATTTTTTAACTTCTAGGTATCTGTGAGTAATGAAGTTTTTCAGCATTTAGGACAACCTCGATTTATGTTATGCCCCACTCAGTATTGCGCTGCCAGAGCCACACCTAATGTTCAAAACTCAGAGTACCTAAATACTCTGGGTGCAAAACTTGCTCCTGAAATTGACATCATGTGGACAGGTAGGGAATTTTTGTTTTTCTATTATTTTGGTGTTTGGAGATTCAGCATAGCTAGTGGCTTTCTTCTGAATGTTCTTAGATACTGTAACAAATGAAAAGTAATTTTGTGTGAACAATATTAAGGAATTGCTCACTACTGCGAGCACATGGTGAATGACAACGTAAACCTATAATTGTAATGTTAATGAAAGTTTTTATTGATCCAGTTGAGTAAGGAGAGGTATCATGTTTCAGGGCCAAAAGTTATTTCTCGACTTCTAACGGTAGAGTCCATTGAAGAAATAACAGATGTTCTGAGACGACCTCCTGTGATATGGGACAATCTACATGCAAATGACTATGATCAAAAAAGGGTATTCTTAGGACCTTATTCTGGAAGATCCCCAGATCTCATTCCCAAGTTGCGGGGTGTTCTCACAAACCCTAATTGTGAATATGGAGCAAACTTTGTTGCAATTCACACACTTGCACAATGGAGTAGATGTAATGTAGATGGAAAGAGAGATCCTTCTTTGAGTAAGTTTATTTTTATTTAGTGATGAAGTGCTTCATATTGATTTCCAAATTTTGGTGGTGTAATTGTTCCTACAGAAATATAATTTCCATAATGTGATGCAACTTGCGTAATACTTCATCAACTCTTTGCATTAATTTTCGTGAATTAATTGTGTTATGTTTTTTGTTTAGTTCCAACCATTTCCTTCTCTTACTTTCTTACAGATGATTCTGTTAGCGCAGACATAAAACTTGAGACTGAGACAGAAGATGGTGGTGTAGGTGAAGATGTACCATCGAATTTATCACCTAACATGTATCACCCTCGTCGGGCGTTGCGGAATGCAATAAATGAATGGCTTCCAGAGTTCAAAAGGGTGAAACCGGCATGGGGACCAATTGCCAAACCACAACAACTTGTTGCAAATACTGTACCTATTCCAATCATTCCATCGGTGAACACTTGTATGAGTGTAACAACCACCACTACCAGTTGTTCTTCTGGCAGCATTCCTGTAGTCAATGCTAATCAACTGCAGGCACTGGCTGAAGTTTGTAGCACCGTGAGTATCTTTCTTTCTAATAAAAAAAATAATTTTTTTTTAATAAATAGTTAAATGTTCATGATTAAAACTGTGTACTTTGATCCAGTCTATAGTTTACATTTTCTTCAAACAAATTGTTTGTTTATTTTGTTGTGCCAAACATTTATGCAAAAAGCCAGTGATGGCTCCATTGAGTCTAACCAAGAGAGGGCACAAGATAGGGGCAGGGTGGGGGGCGGCATTGAGGCCATAGCCTTCCCCCAAAATGCCAAGAATTTTCATTTGTCACCTTTATTTGAAAAAATTGATGTAAATATTTATGTCCATTTAAATAATTTTTTAAACATAACATTGTATATTACAATATACATACACCACAAAAACAATGTTTATTATTTAACATAATTTAACATATCTACGAAACCCCCCCCCCCTGAAAAAAAAAAAAAGATCGGCTGTATCTGCACCTCAGCACTTGAAAATGATTGGCTGGACCAGGCATGAGATATTAAAATAAATTATCAAAGTGACCTGCAATTATAATAATCAACATACCTGATGTAATTAATTTTTGTATAGTAGTTCAATCTTCCTATCTTTGGCACGAGCAAAGATTTTGATCGCTTGAGAGTTTGTCTGAAATGCCCCTCACCATTTGTCTTTTCTGTTGAAAGCATAGTTAAGTAGTGGAATAACATATTTCGTTCTCAACTGTGGTCATGGGTATGGTAACAATAATTTTTAAAAGATTTACACAAATTGACATATTATTATGCAAGAAAAATTGGAGTAACACAAGAGCACCGTTTATGTCTTTTTGGGAATATATCACTTCCAATTCTGTTCTGAGTTTTGGTCCATTAACTTTTGTTTATTGTCTCATAGTCATTTGAAACTTGCTTTGTGGAAATTTTTCAATTAGAAATAATTTCACAGCACGATTATGAGAAATCGAATCTGTCTTTAGTATTGTTCACAATAGCATCACATATTTCAAGAGCGGCAGTACGATTACTGCTACTCTCCCTGTGACCAACACATGGTCTCTTATATATTGGTTCACTGGAAGAAGCGTGGTTGTCTTTGTAAAATACACGAGTATTTCATATTCCATGTGGAAAGTGGTTGATGAATGTTCTGATTTTTTCAACATTGATGTTTCTTTGTTGAACAGAATCAAAAAGAACTGACATGTGAGGCATAATTTTACTGTAGAAAGTAAGCCAAAATACAAAATCTGTATCTTTCATGGTATGTACAAATCCTGCAGCTTGCCTACTAGCTTTAAAATCCTCCTGTTTGTTGTCCTGAATATATTCAAAACATTTAATGAGACTATCTCAATATTAATACATAATATTAACACATCTGTGCTGAAAAGACAATCTTGTTGGCGGAGCTGAACTTTCTTTTGAACAATTTCTGTCAAGCAATGCCTTCTTTTTGGAGATCTTGAGAAAATAAGTTCCGATTCCTTGAAGTTCTTGAAAAAATTCCCCGCTTTGAGGAAGATGTTGCATTCTGAAGTAGAAGATTAGCTTGATGAGCATAACAATGCACGTAATTTGCATTTGGATAATGCTCTTTTATCATACGCACTCATGACAGTAGCCTCTTCATAATCTTTGGAAAACAAGTTTTTCGGGTGTTTTCTCAATTCCTAATATATGTAGCTGCTCTGTAATTTTGGCAGCTAAATCCTCTGCACCTTTCAATCATTTGCAAAAAGGCCCCAAAACCCCTCGTGAATGTTACTTTCTAAATGATATCTTAAAATTTAAGGCATTTGAGTTTTACCTGAAGTATGTTGTTTCGTCAGCTTGTATAGAGGCGTATTCTGCATTATTTATTTCATGTGTAATACATTTTTGGTGAACTTTGAAAATTGCATCCATTATATTGTTTTGAATTCTCTTTGAAATTCCTCTAAACGATTTTGCATTTTCCAAATTATTTTTTTGAAGTGTTATCAAGAATTAATGTATAATTTATTAACCCTTGTAGGGTTTGGGTTATTCAACTCATCCCTTTTGTCATGATCATGCAAAGCTAATTCAAACTCCCCACAAAATTTTATTGCATCAATTATGCATCTTTAAATGTACCTATTTTAGTCTAAAAGATCATTACGTTTGCATATAGAAATCCTATATGCGCCATCCAATTGCTGGTTAATACTAATTTTCCCAAGAACTTTTAAATTCATTTCATTGTTTAGGTGGGTTTTCGAGAGAGCATGTTTTTTGCATTTTCCAATGTAAATGCTTGATATCTTAAATGCCACTCTTAGTCCTTGTTTCGTCACCTTCGAACAGAAGACAAGGAAAACAGAAGAATGTGTTTCTTTTCTGGCATCCATTCCCATTTCGTGTGTACTGATCTATTAAATTTTCTTCTATACAACCTATTTTTATCTCTAAATACTTCATCAGTGCAGAAGTCTGGTTTTGGTGGGTCTAATTCTTTTGCTAAAATTTAAGTTTCTGTTTTGTAAATACTTTACTTTATTCATATTGATATTCACAATTACACTTGACATAAGAACTGAATTAGTATAACGTAGCAGAACTTGAAAAAATAAAGATATTCTAACACATCTCTTGGGGCCATTCTGAATGGGCACTGCTGCCCTTGTCTTAGGAGTACTGGCGGTGGAGTCACATAGAATTTGTGCCATATGTTTGTGTGCCATATGCTTGCACTACACCCTCTCAAATGTTACTGATGTACGAAGGAAGCTGCCAACAAACGGCAAGGCAGTAGGAACAGGCTTCCCATGGCGAAAGTCAGATCTCCTGCTGATGCCTTTACTGAACTTCTTTCAGTGAATAGTGTGTTCACATTCATCAAGTTGCAATAATTCATACAGCAATATAAAGAATTTTAAATCCATTTTTATTTTATCATTAATTTCTTGGGAGGGAAAGGGTGGCATGTGACCATACATATAGCCGCCTGTGCATAAACCCTCACAAATATATTAAAAAAAAATAAAAAAATAAAAAATAAATAAATACATGGTTTAATTTTTCACTATGTTGTTTCCTCTATTCATGTTTGTGTGAAAATGTATATGTGTATGTTTTAATGCTTTCAGGTTACTGGTGCTAATGACAGTTTACTTCAACCTACTCCTGGAGCTGTTATGAATTCTCTAGTGTCGGAAAGCAAGATTGTGTGTAGTGAGACAAACATGAGTAATTCCCCTACAGAACCCATGGACTGTAATCCTACTCCTCCATACACCTCACCTGTTCATGTAGCAAAACCTGCTGTGGACGTTCTGATGACAGAAAATACAGAACCACCTGGTGGTTCTGGTATGCAGGTTGAAACACCCACAAACAGCACCAACACAATGGTTGTAGAGACCAACATCGAAAATTTTCCTCCCAGGTGTGTTTCTTGCGTATTTCACCTCTTGTTATACAGGTGAACCATATCAGTGTGAATCTGTGCAAGATTTAGGAGATGCAGATTTTATTAAATAGAGATTTGTCTACGTAAAAACTTGATGAATACAGTCCTGAAAATATTTTCTGTTCTTTTTTATGTTAATATCACCATAAGTTTTGAAGCTAGTCAAACGTGCTTGAGAATAGTTGAATTTTTAGTTCAAGGACCTATACATCGTGGAATCATAGAACATTCATAAAATTGCTAATTCTTATGATATTTATATTGTTTTATTTTGTTTGTGTTACTGTTATTGTTATTATCATTATTATTGTTATTATTTTTATTATTATTGTTATTGTTATATAATTGTTATTGTATTTTTATTTGATGGTTATTCAGAGTTGATTACATCTAAATGATTCCTGATATTGATGTAAATATAATGGTGTGTGTATGAGTCAGTGTTACTCTTACATGTAACTTCTTCAGTGTGATACTAGCTGATGTGTAAATTAACACCCTGGGCAAAAGAAATTGTTAAGAGCCAAACAGGACCAGCTGTATTGAAAGCAAATCAGCTCTTCACAATGCAATCCTTATCAAAACATGTATCACAGAGTTCAAAAGCCAATTCTTACCTTATAGATTAAGTAAGAACAATTAGCTGAAACTACTCTGAATAATTTACAGCTAGTAAGTGAACAAAAAATCAGTTGTTGATTTTAAGAAAACAATGAGAAATGGAAAGGGTTCTAAGAACTTACTTCTTTATTCATAGAAAATGCATTATTGATCCTGTCAAGTGACAGTTCTCTCTTCTTCCTTCTCTTCTCTACCTTTGTGAACCTCTGGGAAAATAAAAAAATTCTAGTCTTACTTGGCTTTGTAAACTGAAATGAGGTATTGTTTGTTGTTTTAATATTTTTAGGTGAATGTATATATTATTGTCTGTTCGTAACCAGTGATAAATGGCGCATCATGGCATCTTTACAATATATAATTTCAATTACATCTTTGTAGGCAATGAAAAAGAACTTGGCTTAATGGAAGATCTTTGCTCTTTTATGCGACTTATTCTATTTTGCCATTTGAACCATGGTGGACAAGGTATACAAATTACTGCAAGAATTCAATTGGTTAAAGAGTAATGCTCATCTAGTCCCACTTGTGCCCATAACCGTATATCTCGTCAGAAACCCTTCAACAAACTGAGTACATGTTTTCTCCATGCTCTGCCGCTCTGATTTTACCTATAGTAATGGGCTTGTTTGCTTTTTTTTAATCTCTCTTATCTTTTCCTTGGGCTTTTGCTGTGATATTATTTTCAAATTAAATTTCTGCTGGTATGTTTTTTGAGCGTATTAGATTTTCCTCCTACCGGTGTTAACCTATCAGTAATTTGCATTAAAATATGACAATTTTTGATATGCAACTTTTTCTGTGTATTGGATTCATTGTAGCTAACATTGTAGAATTTTGTGTTAGGTTGATGAATGGTTAGAACGTGCCGTGAAGCTGGAAGATATGTCAAAAGCCCTGAATACCCTTTTTCAACGCCTTACATTCTGTGCCAATCGAGAATTGTTGTATGATCTCTACCCGTATGTGTGGGATATGCGTGGGGTTGTCTCGCTTCTAAACTCCTATGTAAAATGGTTAGGTAAGTAAGCAAATCATTATCCTGTGTATCTCTGGGCTGAAATTTCTTTGATTATATGTTCACTATAATGTAGTATAGAGAGGTCTTTGGAAAATGTCTCGCTTGCTGGAGGGGAAAAAAATTGACATTAGTTTGTGTAGGAACTCTCAAATCTATTATTTAATTTAACTTGTACTTTACAATCACTGAATACTGTTAGGTGGCATCAACATGGAGTACACTACAGAATAGTTAATTTAATTTCAAAATTTCATGAACACTTGTCTTCCACAAACTTAAAAAATGTTAGTATTTCCTAAAAAGTATGACATCCCAACACTCGGGTATTTGCAGAAATTTAAGTAGCTGGGAACTCTTGAAAGTGGTTTCTTGGACAAGATTTAAAAGAAAACGAGTGATGGTCACAAATTAATTAATATTATTTGATTACATGTTGTGTTTTTGCTGCATTCTTTACGTAACACAAATTAGTATTTGTTACAGTAAGTGATAAATATTGAAGCCAGTGAAAACTGGCCTAAGTACTTCTACAATTTTTGTTGAATAAGATCATAATATTAACATTATGTGGTTAAGAGAAATA